CAGGAAAGTCAATTGGTATTTCCCCAGGGTTTTTTTAAAGAGTGGAAAAGGAATTACTATTCTGTAGACTTTGAGATCAGCTGATCTGATTGCATAAATCAGCTTCATAGGACTGCAGCAACAGTCATCTTACATACAGGTACTGTATTGCCACAACAGGCATGACTTTGAAAAGAATCCTATACAAACAAAAAAGCCTCACAACAATTTAAACCCATAGTTAAGAAACAGAATTTTAGTCCTATCCGAGAAAATCTATTTGAAAGTGAACATGTAAACAGATAGTTCCAATACCTGTATAAGGCCAATGACAACAGCACAGACACTGAACAGGAAAATGCCAAAAGGCACCTCTGGAAAGGAAGCCATTAAGGAAAACTAAAAAAAATATAATAAAAAAATGTAACTAGATCAAATATTTAATTACAAAGCAATGAAAGAATAACAGTAGAGTAGCAGAAGGACTCTTAATTCAATACTGAAAATCACAAAACCTAAATAATACTTTGCATATCAATTCCACTCAATGCAATTTCTAGCCACAATTAAATGCAGACATCCCAACCAAAGGCACCTGGACAGATGACTTTGCTCCCATGTTGGTACCACAAAACCTGATGCTATGTTTCCTTAGTACCTACAGACTGGCTTGTAGCTGAGGATAACATTCAACAGAATTTCCAGCAGACAAGATGTTCAAAGATGTGACAATTCTTGATATTAAGATACCTTCTGAATCTTTTGGTTTCTCTACCTCCACAGCTCCCTGTGCTATTAATTTCTGCAGCTTCATAAGAAGAAAAAAAACACTAAAGCAGGGATTAGTATTAGGGTATCATTGACAACTTTCAAAAAATTATTTCAGCCTCAAGGCAACGTGAAAAAATACGTGCTCTTCCTGCTAATCACTGTCTTACTGACGACAGCCTTGTTCTTTTAATGCTAATACATAACACAAATATATGTCCACAGAGAAACAGCTGCCTCTCTTACTAATCTGTTCTACATATGCAATAAAAATAAAGAAGCATTTTAAGCAACTGTTTCATTCTGCTAATATGGTGTTCAGTTGCAAAAAGTTTTGTTAGGTCTAAAGGTCATCTGACCAGAAACTGCAAAGAACATCAAATTTTCAGATTTAAAAAATGAATGATTGGCTGCTAGAATAAACCTTGCTGAATAAGTAAAAAAAGAGACCAAAAGCTCTATCTAGATTACAAGAGGAAAATATTGTGTCCTGTAAAAAGGACTTTGAAACACAGATTTAGTTCCCTTACAGGATGCAAAGTTTCATCAGGCAACTTGGACACTTTTCAATACAGCTGCTTTTTTAAAAGAAATAATAGGAAACTATGACTTTCCATTTATATAATTTTTCTTTGAGAATACCCATTTTCTGCCAGGACTATAACATGTAGTAATTGAAGGTTATAACAAGTCCTCATATATTAAAAAAAAGCAAGGCTTAACTATTACAATAAATTCAGAGTTTATACTATGATAACACTTTCCCAGGCTTCTGAATATTTTGGTAAAGTGTTTACAAATAAATAAATTAAAAAACTGTAATTTAAACATACGTAAAATTTTAGAGAAGGACTTACTGTGTATGGCAAGAAAGTTATGATCATCATACAAGCCTAAAAAAGAAAAAAGCCTACTGAAACAGTAGGTAAAACACAAATCAAGCATTCTCCTTGTTAAAGATGTATCCAGAGAATGCAACATAAACAAATCAAATGGTTATGCAGTGTCATGAAAAAAGCAACATTTCTGAAGTAGCTGGGCTTTGACTGTAACAAATGAGTAGTTCTGCACACATCTTCCATGTTTGCTCTCCAAACTGCATGGACTTATTTCAGAAAATACAGCAGTCTTTTACCAACAACACAGGTAAAAGTTTTGCCATGGTTCTTAAGAGACCTTTCAGAAGAAGCAATGACAAAAGTCCTGCACCTCCTAAAGAGGTGATTTCTCAAAACCATTAATGTGTGGTCAGAAAGACTTCATATATATAAAAACTAAATTTAAAAAAACCCCAATGCATCAAGCACAAACACATGGATTGCTTTGAAAGCAAGAATATGTTCACCATAGAAGAATTCTATTACAACTACTAGTAACAAAGATATTATAGAGTGGCTTGTTAAAAAATATACAGAAATAGATGAAGAATTTTTAAGCATTAAGATGGAGGCAAGCGTAAAACTCAAAACACTGATTCAGAGATTGGTCTCTCAGAGATCATGTTTCTGAAAGAGCATATAATGCTGTATTTCAAATAAGGTTCTGAATGATCTTCCAAGCAATATGAACTGAAAATGTAACTGTAATTCAAAACTCCCATTTTTATTTTTTTTTTGCCACAAAAGACATAGCATTGCATTTTCTTAAGTCTGGAGGACAGGCACATCAGCTGGACACAGATGAAGAAAGTCAAAAGCTCGTGAAGAAAGTCACAGACACCTCTCTGGTTCCCTCACATGAATTTCTGACTAACCTGCTGCAAACCTTCTTCTGGCTTACCGTAAAACACATGCAGACTAAAAGCAAGTTAGTTATCAATCAGCCACTCTGGCAAGAAGGAATTTGAGCTTCTTGTATCTTCTTGGCTTGTAAACTTGGCAGAGTTATGCTATTTAAATTAGAAACTTTTGGATATGCAGATGCAGACTTTAAAAAGTAACCAGTGCTAGTTAAACATTCAGTGTATCTGACAAGACTCACCAGATTTAGAAGAGCCAGGACATCATCTATAAGCACCACCACCTGGAACAACCTGTCAAAGGCAAAGCAAGAAATCATTAACAAGCCAGCTCACAAAGTAAGTTTTATGACAGTGCTACAAAATTGCACACCAGTTACAAAGTCCCACTTTTTCAGCCTAATTCCATCCAGAAGTTTAATTCCATCTAGAATAGGAAGTAAAATGAAGAGTAATTCTCATTTAATAGATACAAAATGCTTGTTTTTCTCTGTATCACTGTGTCAGTGGTGTCAGAGTAGTTATCCACCACTTACCCTTTCTTCACAAGTAATTTTTTATATATTATCAAACAAAAGACAATTCAGAAATGCATCAGCAAGACAGAAATGTATCAGATACCTGGTAATCTCATGTCATTTTCTTGTAAACAATAGTTTGTCTTTAACTTTGGAGCTATACACTGTGTTCCTACCTTACATGAGCTGCCCATGCCACTGTGACTATTAAGAAGGTCATCAAGTAGACTGCAATTTTTGCTAGGAGAAGTTGCTGAACACTTTCACCTAGTTTCTGAAACAGAAAGTAGCATCCAGAGACAAAGGGAACTTAAATGTTACATTGTGAAATCATTAGCACCTGCAAACGAGGAAGGTCATGCAGGCATGCAACATTAATTTTAAATTTCTGCCAAGAATGCAATTCTCTTCCAACAACCTTTTTACTACCATGCAGTGAAACAGGTTTATTAGACACCAGTAAGTGTGCTGAGATGTGTGGTTAGTGGCACAAGATATGCCAAAGCACCTCCAACCAGTAAAGGACTCTCCCCGTGCTCTCTTTACCTCATGATTCCATAATGCACTTTCTTATCACTGTTTCTGTGATAATACATTTCAGAAAAGGGCTGACCACAAAATATCCCTTTTATTTTCTTAGTGCTGCCTTCTGGAACAGCAGCATCACACAGGTTCTCATAAGATGATTGTTAACAATGAGGAAGGGAAGGATTTAACCACAGCAGATTTTGCATATGGCACAACAACTGCTTGAACAGACTAATAGAATCACAGAATGGTTTGAGTTGGAAGGGACCTTCAAGATCATCTAGTTCCAGCCTCTCCTGGATGGGCAGGGAGACCTCCCACTAGACCAGGCTGTTCTAAGTCCCATCCAACCCGGCCTTCAACACTGCTGAGAATGGGCCTCCCACCACTTCCCTGGGCAACCTGTCCCCAAGCTGAACAGCATCTTTCAAGTATTACCACAGAAGCCTCTGCAGACTACACAGATCTTCTGCGTTGAAGATTTTCATCCCAAGCTCAACAGCTTCTCCCCCTCAGAAAAAAAATTATGTTGGTTTTAATGTTACTTAATGGTTTGGGCTTTTGGAAAGTCTGGAAGGTGAAACGAGCGAGGGTGTTACAGGAGGCTGTTCCATGTCCGAGCAAGAGCACAAGAAACAACACATCACAAAGACACAGGGTACCTGATCAGGATGTATTTTCGTGTGAGCCACGGGCAGAATCTGCAATGACAGCATCTCATCAGCGCACGGCACTCGTCTCAGCACCGA